GGCTGCCCTGGGAGCCCACTCGGGCTGAGACAGCCCCCAGGCCACCGTCCGCCAGGGGCTGGATTATCGGCTTAGGGAGCCACCCTGCAGTCCCAGCTCTGGGGATTGGACTCCCCAGGGCTGTGCTGAGGGAGGGAGGGGCAGGTGTGAGGACAGGGAGCCTGGAGGAGGGCAGAGGGCTGGGCCATGAGGGAGGGTGAGGTGCCGTCTGGACCCCCGACTTGCTGGGGGTCCTGTGGTGGGGAAGAGGCAGAGGTCAGAGCAGGGAGACGCCTGCATCCCAGGGATGAGATGGAGTGTTCTGGAATGCATAAGTGTCCATGAACTCCAGGGCCCAAAGGAAGGACCCCTGGCCTCGTCCTGCCCGCCGGCCCAGTCCCGTGCTATGGGCTCATTTGTCCCCTTCTGCCTTGCTGCATCCTGCTGAGAGCTGGCCTTGTGACCTGGACAGGGTCTCTCCGGAGGGAGAAGGGTCCCCACAGGCACATTTTGGGCTCAGATGTCCTGGCGGGCTGGGGTCCCAGCTCTGGCCTGTCCTGGGAGCTTCTGGGTACGACGGGGGAGCCTGCAACGCAGCTGACCATCCCCCTGTCCCTGCAGGTCCAGCACCATGTGCTAGGTCACGCCCAGCGTGAGGCCACACCCTGGGCCATCGGAGCAGCCCCTCCTCCCTCCAGGGGTCACCCTCCCCACCACCCACTGCCCCACCATGGCCGGGGACCGGCTCCCGAGGAAGGTGATGGACGCCAAGAAGCTGGCCAGCCTGCTGCGGGGCGGGCCTGGGGGACCGCTGGTCATCGACAGCCGCTCCTTCGTGGAATACAACAGCTGGCATGTGCTGAGCTCCGTCAACATCTGCTGCTCCAAGCTGGTGAAGCGGCGGCTGCAGCAGGGCAAGGTGACCATCGCAGAGCTCATCCAGCCGGCCACACGCAGCCAGGTACCCAGCCCTCTGCCTGCCGGCCTGCGCCACCTCCAGAGCCCACGGCCAAGGAATCCTCAGCTCGGGCAGCCTCCCTCCTCTGCCCTCCAGCCCAAACTGGGCTCCTTGGGGTCACAGCCAGGGGCGTGTGGGGCAGTCCCCTCTGGCACTTGCATTTCATCGCTGCCTGCTGTCCCTGCTCAGGATCCCCCCACCCCCCAAGTCCTCCTCACTCAGTACCTGCACTGAGGTGCTGGCCCTCCCCACGCAGACAGGACTATGTGGCTGGGACCGGCCCAGGCTCATAGAGAGGAGCAGTGAACGGAATAGCCAGGTGTGAACACACAGGGGTGGGGCAGCCCAGACGCCCACTCGGGAGAGGGACAGCTGTGTCGTCCACTCCGACTGCTGTGAGGACAGGAGGGGCGGTCAAAAGGCACACATGAGCAGCATGTCCCCATCCCACAGCTCCCCCTAGCCCCGAGTATTCAGGGACCCAGAATTCTCTCTGTGACCCCCCAGGAACGTCCCTCGGGGGAAGGACAGCTAGTTCCCTCAGGACTATCAGGTGCAGCTGGGGAGGGACGGGCCGGGCTGTTGACTTGTGAACGTAGCGGCACCTCCTCCTCCGACTGCCTCACAGGGGGACGAGGGTGACAAGCCGTCAATCCTGGAGGCTTTGAGAGGGGTCTGGGTCACTGATAGGCCCCCTTCGGCGCTGGGGCATGGGAGGACGCAAGTGAGAGAGCCACTGGCCAGGAGTCCGCCTGCCCCAAGGCCAGCATTGGCTCCCTTTGGCTTCCAACAAGGGGAATCCGGTGATTAATGACCCCCAGTGAGGACTCCCGGCAAAGTGCGATCCCATTGGCTGCCGGTGACGTCAGCCAGCCTGGGGCTGGCAGCTCAGCTGGCTTAAGGGCTGAGTGTGCTCGCCGGGCGGGGGCACCGGTGCTGTCTGAGCAAAAGCCACTCAACATCTGGGCTGGCCCTCAGGGCAGGGGAGGAGGACAGGAGGAACCCAGTTCCAGCCGCTGCCTCCGGAATTGGTGCAGGGGCCTGGGGTCCTGCCACAGTCCTCTGTTTCTCCGCTGGGGGTTGGGGAGGGGAGAGGGTGGAGAGCAGAATCGCTGGCTCCAGAGTCAGCCCCACTGAGAGCCCACACCTGAAGGTACCGCCTCTAGAATCCCTGAAATGGGCCGAGCCTCCGTTTCCCTCCACCGCCCAGGGAGCCAGCCAGGTCCTGTCCTGAGCTCCCATCGCACTCACCTGTGTCGAGGAGACCCTCGACACGGGCCTGGCCAGAGCGTCCGTCCCCTTCTCCCATGTGCATGGAATGGGGGCCCAGCTGCAGGAGCCCGCCCCTCCCTGCCCCCGTGGCTGCTGTGTGGCGTGGGTGTGTGCACCTGGCCGCTGGCAGGTGGAGGAGAGTGTGTCAGGTGTGTGACTGCACCTACCCTCACCCCAGGCAGCAGGGTGACCGCTTTCACCTCCCATCATCCGACCCCTCACTATTCCCTTGGGCCAGTGTGGCTGGGACAGGGCCAGGGCGTCAATAGGTGGGGGCGGCATGCTGACCTGTGCCCCACGGCCCCCAGGTGGAGGCCTCGGAGCCACAGGACGTGGTGGTTTATGACCAGAGCACTCGGGACGCCAGTGTGCTGGCCGCAGACAGCTTCCTCTCCATCCTGCTGAGCAAGCTGGATGGCTGCTTCGACAGTGTGGCCATCCTCACAGGTGAGTCAGGGACCCACGCCTCCCTGAGGCTCTTGGTCTGTCAGCAGGGGCTGGGGCTGGGGCTGGGGCGTCAGAGAGGCCAGCGTCTGCTGTGCACAGGAGGAATCCCATACATCTGTGGTTCTCGAGGCCCCACCGTCCTCTCCCCGGGACCCCCCCACTTCAGGACCCACCAATATGAGTTTATCCTCAACACAGAAGGAAACCCCAAAGTACAACTCAGCTCCGGAGGTGTAGGGGGAGGCCTGCAGGCATGGGACCCTGCTCCCCTTCCCAGAGCGCCTGTCAGAAGCCGAGGCAGAGGCCCCACCTTCTGGAAACTCAGTTGGAGCCATGGGGTCGCGAGGAAGTCTCCCCACCCTGAAAACCCAGCTGAGTGCAGGTTGCCTGGCATCAAGGCTGCTGCCTGGGTCCCAGCAGAGAGCCGCCAGGGATTCCTGTAGCCCAAAAGCTGCCTGGGCAGCCGGCCCCAAGCCCTGGATGCAGGGAAGCCACCCCACTACACACTCATATACACAGATACACACATATATACTCATACACACTCATATACACAGATACACACTCATACACACTCATACACACAGATACATATACACAGATACACACTCGTATACACATACACACAGATGCACACTCATACACACATGTATACACAGATACACATGCACATACACTAATATGCACAGATACTCATACACAGATACACACAGATGCACACTCATACATGATACACGTATACACTCATACACACTAGTATACAGATACATTCGTATACACTCATACACACTGATACTCGTATATACTTATACACACATACACACAGATACACACTCATATACACAGATACACACAGATGCACACATACACACATACACACAGATACGCACACACATACTCATATGCACTCATACACGATACGTATATACATGCTAGTATACGGATACACACTCATATACACTTATATACACTGATACTCGTATATACTTGTACACACTCATACACACAATACACACGTATACACATGCTAATATATGGATACACACTCGTATACACAGATACTCATACACATGTGTACACTCATACAGATACACACTCATATACACTCATACACACATATACACATACACACATACACAGATACACATACACACAGATACACACTCGTATGCACTCATACGCACTCATGCACTCATACACAGTCATACACACAGATACACACTCATATACACTCATACACACAGATACACACTCGTATGCACTCATACACACTTGTCATCTCTGAGGGTGCTTTCCTCCCCTGGGCTGTGGCTGAGAGTGAGCCTGAAGAATCCACCTCCTTGGGTCTGCCCAGGTCCCAGAGCCGGGTGGAGCTGGCCTGTCCCAGGGACCTGCACCCTCCCCCACCCAGGGCTGGGATCTGTGTTCAGGCTTCTGCCACCCAGCCTCTGCTACCAGGCTGTGGCAGGCAAGCAGAGGGTGTGGGGTACTGCGGGGTGCAGGTGCGGTGGGGTGGGGAGTGGGCAGCCAGACCAGGCCCTTGGCCCTGCATCCAGTGGGAGAGGGACCTTCAACCTAGCCTGAGGGTGACTGTGGGGGGGTGAGGGGTGACAGCCGCTTTGGCCAGGCAGACCTCCCGAGATGCCATGTCCTGGGACCTAAAGGGCACCCAGGAGGTGTAAGGGTGGTCTGGTGTCTGTGGTAGGAGCATTGAGGCCAGGCTCCCTCCCTACCTGTCTGCATGTGACTCCAGCGCCCCGCACTGCTGGGTGGCCACGGTCAGAGGGGGTCTGGTGATCAGCATCTGCCTCTGCGTGTGTGTGTACGTGGGCACATGAGAGCATGTGTGTGTGCACGCATGTATGTACACGTAGGTGTATTTGTGTATGTACTCGCCCGTGCGTGTCTGGGTGGGCTGTGGGATTTGTGTGCACATGTGCGAATTCTCTGAACCAGAAGCCACAGGATGATACACTCTGATCCAACCCTCACCCCCTGGGTTCATTTGAACTGGTGGGGAGGGGAGGGGAGAGAGAGTAGTTCGGGGCTTTTCACAGGCTTCCCGGTGTAGTAGGACCCCTCCTGAGGGCCAGCTTGCTGCCCTAGCCAGGAACGGGAACCAGAAGGCCTTTCTGTGAGGCTGAGAAGGGTCCCAGAGTGGCAGCCCTAGGTGGATCCTAGGAAGGTCCCCAGCCTGGAAGGTCCTGTCTCCCTCAAAGCTGAGGGGGACGGTGTGGGCAGCTGGGGCCCTCACCCAGCTCTGGTGGGTGGGACAGCATGGGTGCGGAGGTGGGCATGGGTGTGGGCATGGGAGGGTCCGGGCTTGGGCTGGGGTTTGCCAGGAGGGTGCTCCTAGGGCCTGGCAGTGCCCGCTGACTCTCGGGACCCTCTGAGCTGCCCTTCTGTGCCGACATCCGCCCTGCAGGGCTCAGTCCTTGTCCCTTTCCTCCCGAAGCACAGCTGCCAAGGAGTCCCGGCCCCCATGGTATAGAAGGGCTCATGACGACACCCAAGCAGGACCCGAGCTCCGGATGGCCCCCCATGGGTCGTGCCCTCAGGCCCCCTCCCACCCTGAGGTGGGCACAGACCCTACTCTGGGCTGGCTCTGGAAGAACCAGGGAGAGTGGGAAGTGACATAGTGAGTGGGACAGGGGTGCCGCACTTACCAGGAGAAGGGACAGTCTGGGGTCCCGCCGCACAGGCAGGACAGCTCCTTGGTCCATTTGCAGGGACAGTACAGGCCAGAGCGTGAGGACCAACCCTCTCTCCTCCCCACAACAGGGCGGGTTTTCCTGCTTCCCCAAAACGTGCCCTGTTGCGGGGAGGAGAGGCCGCGCTGGGGTCCCAGGACTGCGGTGAACCCCACCTCCCCTTGCTGCTCCTCTTCCCCACCTCCAGCTGCACTGCTCATGATGCTGAGGGGCAAAGCGGCAGGGGAGGGGAGAGGGGCCTGGCCCTTTAAGCAGCGGCCCGCAGTTGGCCTTGGACCCCAGCTGGGGGGCTGCACTGCAAGTGGGTGGGGTGGGGGCCCCATCCCGGCGGGGAGTCCGGGGGACGTGGAGGTGGCAGGCAGAAGCATGTCTGTGACTGTAGCCATAAGCACTTGCGGGGTCTGCCGGGTGGCTCAGTAGAGGCACGCGTCCTGGTACACACGCTTTCATTCGAGTCTGGGATTTCACTGTGAGTAGCAGGCGAGCTGCAGGCAACCCCCCTCACACCCCTGAGTTAGGGAGCAGGGATAGTGGGAAGGCGCCTTTGGGGAGGCCTGGGGATAGGGGTGCCTCCCCCAGGCCCAAAGCATGCTGGGACCTACAAAGGGTCCCTTGCTGAACCCCAACGCCCCTCCCTTGTCACTCAGCCGCCCTAGAGCCTGGGTGGTTCTGAAATCCCTGGAGCCTCAGTCCCTGCTAGGCCTGGCGTCCACAGTGGGCTCTGTAGGGGGCATCCATGCTACCCACTCTGCCTGGGGAGGTCCTGGGAAGCTTCCCCAGGGAATTGCTGCCACAGCTGTGAGTCCCTGCACCTGTCCAGAGACATTCCTGCCTTCCCTCCTGTGGGAGAGGGGAGGGTTCTGATGGAATCCCCCTGCCACCACCACTCCCTTTGGCCAGGCCCTGAAGAAAGCAGAGAGTAGGGCCCAAGATTCCTGAGAGAGCCACAGGGAGGTGGGAGGCAGCAGCTACCAGGGAGGAGTCTGCAGAGAGACTGCGGCCCCTGCCCTCCTGGACATCAAGAACATCCAGGGCTCCCCTGGCTCAGATCGGTGAGCGGAAGCCAGCCACGGCCCAGCCTCTGCTCAGGGGAACCTGCAAGCTGGGGCATCACTGGTGACAAGTCACCTGCTTCCCCCTGTCCAGCCAGCAGGTTCCCATGGAGGGGACTGCTTCTCCAAGGCTGCTGCCTCAACCCGCCCGGCCTGGAGCTTCCACTGTCTCCACAGCCCCCACCATCATGTCTTTTTGGGGGACACGAGGAGCTGGCACAGCAGGCGTTCTGGTTGGGGGTTTGCACACACTCCCCTATGCTGAGTTATCCAGGTCCCTGGCACCAGCCTCTTCTGCACACCAGGACAAAACAGCTCTGAGTTCCCCTGGCCCCAAGCGCCACCCCCTTCAAAGCCCAGCCTCCTCCATGGGGATCGGGCAGGCCTTAGCCCAGGGTCTCATGTTCTGCACCAACAGGAGCCAGCTTGCCATGGGGGCTCATGTCCCAGAAGTTGTCCCTGGGGTGGTGCTGGGCAGTGCTGGCCTCACCCTCCAAGAGCTGGTGGCCACCAGGTGGGTGCTGCCTAGTTTCTGGTCCGTGTTGATGGTCACCTCAGCCAGGTCGGGGCAGCCAGGTCCATTCTCACTGTGCATCCTCGTCCCCAGTATCTTCTCGAAGCTGCACAATGCCATGCAGCAGGCAGGCTGAGGACGCGGAGACCTGAGGCATGACATGCACTGCCCGTGGTCACTGAGTCACACGTCCCAGGGATTCACGTGCCGGTCTTTCCAGTCGATGGAGGGCAGAGGAGTTCCTCCCACCAGCCCGTGCTTTGGACTTGGATGTGTGTGGAAGGAGGCGGTTGGTGACTCGCTGGTCACATGTGCAGTGGGTGCCCCCTGCCTGCCCAAGTGCCCCCTGCCTGCCTCAGTGCCCCCCGGTGCCCAGGGCTGCTCCACTCTTCTCCCTTTCCTGCCTGGTGGAGTAGAGCCATAACCAGACGCAAATGCCCCGAGGGCTGTGCCAGGGTGATGTCATGCCTGGGGAGGGGGAGGGGACAGCCTCTTGGAAGCCCTGGCCTCCTGGTCCTGGCACCCAAGCCTGGGCATGGGGCTCCCAGCCAGCTGGAGGCAGGGAGGCATTGCATCAGCGCCGGGGAGGAGGAAGGCCCAGCCTGGCCCCAGGCCATGGGTATGGGGGGAGGAGCTGGCAAGGGCCTCTCCTCTGGGGTGCATGACCCACACCCTCAGCGGGAGCCCCCTGTGGTCTCTGCGCCCGCCCCTGCCTGGGCCCAGTGCGTGTCATGCTGGCCAGCCACCTCAACCCCACCTTTATGGGCATCACAGCTGCGTCCTCAGCTGGCTCAGCCCTTCATTAGCGTGAGGAGGAATGTGGGCGTGGGCCCGGGCTGTGGATGTGTGGCAGCACCCCCGCCCCTGCCACCACCAGAGCTGCCCTCCAGCAGCCAGACCAGGTGCTCGGCCAGAGGCTGGCCAGCTGGGCTCCAGCTCTCGGGTCTGGGCTGGGTGTAACTGATCCTCAGCAGTAGACGGGGTGCCCTAGGCGGACGGGGCGCCCTACCCAGACAGAGTGCCCTGGTGGTTCTCTCAGCCCACCTGACAGGCCGCCTCCTCCCATAGGGGGCTTCGCCACCTTCTCCTCCTGCTTCCCCGGCCTCTGCGAGGGCAAGCCTGCTGCCCTGCTACCCATGAGCCTCTCCCAGCCCTGCCTGCCCGTGCCCAGCGTGGGACTGACCCGCATCCTGCCTCACCTCTACCTGGGCTCGCAGAAAGACGTCCTCAACAAGGTGTGTGTGTAGCGGAGTGGGGGTGGGAATCAGTAGGAAAGGGCAGGAGCTCCAGAACCAGCTTGGCAGTGGAGTAGGGACGAGGGGAGAAAGGGCTGAAGGCAGTGCATGAGCTGGGTGTGCGAGAAGCATGTGTGAGGCCAGGAGGACCCCAGGCTTTCACCCATGCCCCGGCAGGGCCATAGCAGGGCTGGGGGAGGAGCAGGGAGCTGGCATGCCAAGCTGCAGATGTCACTGGGCCCCTGGCCAGCTCTGAAAGAATCCTGTGTTTTAAAAATGGTGACAAGTGAAAAGGGTAAAAGCCACCACCCAGGCAACCATAACATTCCTGGGAGCCCACTGCTGGCATGGGCAGGGCCTGCAGACAGAGCCCAGCCTGCCCGTCTCCCACACGGGCCCAGGATGCCAGGGTGGAGACAAGAGAGGCCTCCTGGGCCCACCCCTGATACACTGGGATCCAGGACAAATTGCAAGGCTCCCAGGAGCACCCAGGATTCTAAAGGCCCTCCTGACGGCAGGGCAGGGAGAGCTTCTCCCACCCCTTTCCAGCCTGTCCTCCTGTCCCTCCAGGATCTCATGACGCAGAATGGAATAAGCTACGTCCTCAACGCCAGCAACTCCTGCCCCAAGCCGGACTTCATCTGCGAGAGCCGCTTCATGCGGGTCCCCATCAATGACAACTACTGTGAGAAGCTGCTGCCCTGGCTGGACAAGTCCATCGAGTTCATCGGTGAGTCTCTGCCGGCCAGTGGAGGGCAGGGCCTGGTTGGAGGAAGGCTAGGACCGGATGTGGCCACAGCCACAGGAAGGGTCCGCCGGAAGTAGCCTGGATGGTTGGCAGTCGGGAAGGTGGGGTATCCTACCAGGGGCAGGGAGGAGCTGCCCCCCAGGGCCCTCACCTGCCCCCATGGCCCACCTGACCAGATAAAGCCAAGCTGTCCAGCTGCCAAGTCATCGTTCACTGTCTGGCCGGCATCTCCCGCTCCGCCACCATCGCCATCGCCTACATCATGAAGACCATGGGCATGTCCTCTGACGACGCCTACAGGTACCGCCTTCCCCAGCCACACATCTGTGGCTCATAGCGTCGGTCGTCTCCTTCCCCCAGCTGCTCGCTTGCGCCAGAAGGGCCCCACCTTCCAGGACCCCCGGCAAGGGAAGGGGGTCTGAGACCAGCCCGGCGCACACGAGCTCGCCCGCGGGTGCGTCACGTGGGCAGCCTGGCCCCGGGGGCGCCTGGAGCTGAGCCTCCTCTCCCACAGGTTCGTGAAGGACCGGCGCCCGTCCATCTCGCCCAACTTCAACTTCCTGGGCCAGCTGCTGGAGTACGAGCGCAGCCTGAAGCTGCTGGCCGCCCTGCAGGGCGACCCGGGTACCCCGGCGGGGACGCCGGAGCCTCTGCCCAGCCCCGCGCCCGGGGCCCCGCTGCCGCGGCTGCCACCACCTACCTCAGAGAGCGCTGCCACCGCCAGGGAGGGCGGCCCGAGCGCGGGCGGGGAGCCCCCGACGGCCCCCGCCACCAGCGCGCTGCAGCAGGGCCTGCGCGGCCTGCACCTCTCCTCCGACCGCCTGCAGGACACCAACCGCCTCAAGCGCTCCTTCTCGCTGGACATCAAGTCGGCCTACGCGCCCAGCCGGCGCCCCGATGGCCCCGGGCCCCCCGACCCCGGCGAGGCCCCGAAGCTCTGCAAGTTGGACAGCCCGTCGGGGGCCGCGCTGGGCCTGCCCTCGCCCAGCCCGGACAGCCCGGACTCCGCGCCCGAGGCGCGCCCGCGGCCCCGCCGGCGGCCCCGGCCCCCAGCCGGCTCCCCCGCGCGCTCCCCCGCGCACGGCCTGGGCCTGAACTTCGGCGACGCGGCCCGGCAGACTCCGCGGCACGGCCTCTCGGCCCTGTCGGCGCCCGGGCTGCCCGGCCCCGGCCAGCCAGCCGGCCCCGGGGCCTGGGCGCCGCCGCTTGACTCCCCGGGCACGCCGTCGCCCGACGGGCCGTGGTGCTTCAGCCCCGAGGGCGCGCAGGGAGCAGGCGGCGCGCGGTTTGCGCCCTTCAGCCGGGCGGGCGCGCCGGGACCGGGTGGCAGCAGCGGCGGCGACCTGCGGCGGCGGGAGGTGGCAAGGGCCGAGCCCCGGGACGCGCGGACGGGCTGGCCCGACGAGCCGGTCCCGGAGACGACGCAGTTCAAGCGCCGCAGCTGCCAGATGGAGTTCGAGGAGGGCATGGTGGAGGGGCGCGCGCGCGGCGAGGAGCTGGCCGCCCTGGGCAAGCAGGCGAGCTTCTCGGGCAGCGTGGAGGTCATCCAGGTGTCCTGACCCCTCCGCGGGGTCCCAGCGCCCGCAGCCGGGCCCGTTATACATATATATTATATATAATGCAAAGAAAGGTAAATGGTTTTACTGCGATTTTTATCGAGAAGTAAATATTTCGATTTTTTATTTATTTAAGCTGTTCATTCTGGCAATGATTTGGCAACAGCGCGGGTGGTCCTCGAGCTCTATTTTTACTGTCTGGTATTTAAACTGAAACACACGTTTCTAAGCAATACGAGGCCACCTTCAGTCGCAAGCTGGGTGCCAGGCCTGGGGCCCCCCCAGTTCCCCCGCCCCAGGAAACACTGCTGACCTTTGCAAAGGCTGCCGAGCTTTCGTGCACTTTTTACATAAGAAAAAGATGAAAAAAAGGAAAAAAAAAAACTTCTTTGCCACAAACTGAGCCGCAGAACCCCCCTTCTTTCCCCACCCACCTCCTCTGCTCTCTCCCTTCTCTATGCCTGCCTCGGGCTCTGCACCAAAGCCATAGGTTTGGGGAGCAGGAGCTGATGTGCCCCAGAGAAGCGTGGCCAGCCCTCCACCAACTCCAGGCGCCAAATCTTGGTGGCAGGGAGGGCACCTGGCCGCCCGTTGCCCAGAGCTGCCCCAGAGCTGCCGGGGGTGGACGGGCATTGGGCTTCGTGGTACCAGCGTGTTCAGAGGGGCTGAGGAACAGAACAGTGTGTGTAGGGGCTTGGGGCCAGGCGTCTGGAGCATCAGATGAGGTGGAGGCTAGGGAGGATGTGGGTGTTCATGCCCTCACTCCTGCCAGAGCCCTGGTCCAGCCACAGGGTGGCCCAGAAAGGCCATTCCCAGAGGGCTGCTGCCCTTCCCTCTCCCTTGCCCATGCCCATGCCCCAGAGCTGCCTGCCGGGCAGGGCAGCACTACTGCAGGAGAGGATCTTGGCCTCGGGATCAGGCAGGAAGGTCCCGGCTAGCCTGTGCTGGGTGCACTGGGCAGGGAGCCCTGGGCCCCTAGGTATGAGGAGGGGGTAGGCTGAGGGTCCTGTTCCAGGCCGGTCCCCACCTAGCAAGGCCCCAGGCAGGACTCGGAATTCAGGTGTGCACCTGCAGGCTGGGGGCTACATGAGCAGGTGACGCCTGGCACGGGGTGAGTCGGTGCCGGCCCAGTCCCCATGCTTCCAGTAGGCCTGATAAAGCCCCTGATGCCAGCAGGCGCAGGCCGTGCCCCTTTGTCTGCCCTGAGCCCCATGGGGGCCTCTCAGGAGAGAAACTCCCTTGCACCCTTCCGCAGAGTGCTCTCCGGTATCTTCTAGGCGGCATGCCAGCCCCCAAACACAGGTGGCTTTTGGGCCCAGGTGGGTCAGCCGGCTGCCCCTGCCACATACCCTCTCAGGCCATTGGGACCCCTGCCCTTCAGATACCCTAGGGTCTCTTTGGGCAGGAGGGGTGGTCCAGGCAGGACCCAGTCAGGAGTCCTGGAGCAGGGCCAGGGAGGTGCCCACCCCGCCCTGCCCAGCCACCCTCTCTGCTGTTTCTTCTATTTGTTCTTTTTTTCACCCACAGCCCTGTGTTCCTGTCATCCCTCCTTTCAGCAAAAGTCCTGTTCCCTCTGTCCCCACCCACTCCTGTTCCCCAAGAAAATAAGCTATCATTGTTGTATTTGCAATCTATGGATTAGAGGTTTAAGTATTTATTGTTATTGGTTAATTATTATTATTAATTATGTAAATTTGCCTCCCGTCTGTCTGTTGCGTTGGGTTTCTGAGGTGACCCTGGGTGTGGAGGATGCACTGGCTCCCGATTCTTGCCCCCCAACCCCTATGCTGTCTGGGAGACAGTAGTCTGGGGCCACTGGTTGGGCCCCCTCCTCCCCTCCCCTCATCCCTTCTCCAGGGCATGGGGGATCTGTCTGTCTCAGTCCGTCTCTGCTCCTGCTCTTGAGGCACTGGTCACCCCGAAGTGAGCGGCCAGGGTGGGGAAGAAGGTCCTGTCTCAGCCACTGCCACCTCCAGTGCTTCAGGAGGCAGGCCAGGGCCCCACCCTGGTGGCTTTCTCCCACCTGGGCCCGGAGTCCTCCCCAAGCCTCTCCCGCCCCTCCCGCCTGGCCACTGCCTGGCACTGGGAATGCCTCACAATGGACCTGGCCCCTCCTGTCATTTGCTGGGAAGTCCAGCGGAGGAGTGGGTGCAGGTCCCCCGCCGAGCCTCCAGTCTCTGTGGACTGGGCTGCCGGCTCTCCAGCCCCCCTTGGAGCCCCTCCCTCCACGGCCGGCCGCACCTTCTCTCCTGGCCCCTCCCTTTGTATTTGGAGACAATGTGTTGTAATAAAGCTTAAAGTGGATGTTTTCCCCACGACTGGCTGCCTCTTCCTTCAGACTGGTGGTGGGCTGGGTAGGAGCAGAGGCCGCTGGGAGAGCAGGCCTGAGGCTCCCTGAGGCCAGGCCCCTGGTGTGCTGGGTCTGGAAACTTGCCCCGGGCTCATACTGTGGCCCTGCTCTGAGAACAGGCCCTGGGGCCAGGCACGGGCACAGGTCCTCAGCTGCACTTTTAGGGTGGAAAACGCTGTTTCAGCTGTTACGTGGTAATAGAAGCTTAAATAACTTAAAACGACGTAAAATAAAACCGCAGTGTTACCCGTCAGCTCCCGCGCTCCTGCAATCCCAGTGTGAAGAGTCGGACACTTCCCTCCCATCCCTAGTGTGCTTGCATGCATGTGTGTGGGTGCGTGCACAGACCAGCAGAAACGGGTTTAGCCGTATATGTTACGTACAACCAGCTTTTCTTTTTCTTTTTCTTTTCTTTTTTTTTTTTTTTTTTGAGACAGAGTCTTGCTGTGTCACCCCAGCTGGAGTGCAGTGACGCAATCTTGGCTCACTGCAACCTCCGAGTCCCAGGTTCAAGCGATTCCCCTGCCTCGGCCTCCCAAGTAGCTGGATTACAGGCACGTGCCACCACACCTGGCTAATCTTTGTGTTTTTAGTAGAGATGGGGTTTCACTGTGTTGGCCAGGTTGGTCTCAAAGTCCTGATCTCAAGTGATCTGCCCGCTTCGGTTCCCAAAGTGCTGGGATTACAGGTGTGAGCCACTACGCCCAGCCTCCAACCAACTTTTCAAATCTTAGGTAATGTGCACATCGTACAAGGATCCAAGGCACACCTGGGTACATGGTAGGAAGTACTGGTTTGTCTCCCCCAGCCTTGTCCCCAGCCTCCAGGTTCCTCTCCCTGGAGGCGGCCCCAACCCGGCCTGCAGCCCCCACCCCCCTGCCCCAGGGCAGACCTGACTGCTACCAGTCCCACACGCTGCAAAGATTCACAGTGTGTGTGCAGCCTGGGCTGAGGCGTACTCACACCTCAGTGGAAGATACCAGATCAGTGCTCACCACACAGCCCTCTGGCTCATGCAGCTTCTTCCAGGTTTACCGTGCCCATCCCAAGGACCTCTCCCAACCAGTGACAGTGTCCAGATCATGTACGTGTGAGCACTCATGAGATGGGAGGAAGAGGAAGCAAGAGAGGAGAAGAGGAGGGGGCCAGCCCCTTCTTGGGGGCTGCAGGAGGAGGCAGGGGCCTTTAATCCTGCATCCTTAAGAGTCTCCAAAAAGGAGGAAAGCTAGAAACATAGTCTGATGCTCCCGAAAGGCTATTTTTGGCTGAAGAACATCTATTTATAACTCTGGCAGCCCCCGGCAGTCAATAAAACCGAGGTCTGGAAAGAGCTGACGGCTGACTCAAAGCAGCACCAAGGTGCTCCCCTACCCCTCGTGCACGGGGGCACCTGCAGCTGCAGGAGGTGGGTGACAGGGCCTCTACTAGGATGACCATCTGGGGCACACAGGTCTCAGGACCCTGGGGGCAGTGTAGGACTCCAAATGGAGAGAGGGGGTCTCATTTACCAACTCAACCAGGCTCCTATAAGTCCAAGAGCTGCCCAAAGTAGGTGATGAAGCAGGAGTTGAACACTGGTGAGCTGGCCTCTAGCTGCTACACAGGGTCCCCTAAAGGCTTGATGTCCTGCCTACACCTGTGTCTCCCCCAAGGCCAAGCGCTTTAGGTGCTAGATGGGTCTTGGATGCGTGGGTAGATGGGTGGAGGAGGGGGGGAGAGATGGATGGATGGATAGGTGAATTTATGGATGGGCAGATGGATGAATGGTGGCTGGCTGGCTGGCTGGCTGGATAGGCAGATGGATGAATGGGTGGAGGGATGAGGGGTGGATGGGTGGGTGGGTGGGTGGATGTATGAGTGGATGGATGGATGAATGGGTGTAGGGATGGATGGGTGGAGGGATGGATGGATGGGTGGGCAGATGGATGAATGGGTGAAGGGATGAGTGGGGTGGATGGGTGGGTGAGTGGGTGGGTGGATGTATGAGTGGATGGATGGATGAATGGATGGATGGAGGGATGGATGGATGGGTGGGCAGATGGATGGATGGATGGAGAAATGAGTGGAGTGGATGGGCGGGTGGGTAGATGGATGGATGGATGGATGTGTGAATAAGTGGGTGGATACATGGGTGTGTGGATGGATGGATGAATGGGTAGGGTGCTGAAGGGGTGGATGGATGGATGGATAAGTGGATGTATACATGGGAGGATGAGTAGATGGATGAATGGGGGAGGGATGAGTGGGAGGGATGATGGATGGATGGATGGGATGGATGGATGGGCAGATGGATGAACGAGTGGAAGGATGAGTAGGGTGGATGGATGGATAAATGGATACATAAACGAGTATTCATAAATAGACACGTGGATGGGTGGCTAGGGAGTAGAAGGGAAGGAAGGATGGGTGGATAGGTAGATAAGTAATTGGGTGGATAGGACATGAATGGGTGGGTAATAACGTAACACTCTGTTAGGTGCACTTCTATTAGTCTTATATTGAAGCCGTGTGCTTACCTCCATTCTCCATTGGACTACAAACAGACACCTGGTCTTTGCATATAGAAGGCACCCAGTGAATGTCCAATGAATAAGCCACATACTAACTGTCCTGGAGTGGGACATCACAGGAGAGACCCAGTTAAACCCTCTCCAAGGCCCAGGGAGAGGAGCGGGCTTGGTCAATGTCCCTTAGAGGGTCAAGGGCAAAGTTGGGGCTGGGCTTGGTTCCTGGTCTCCCAGGCACCATTCCTCTGCCTGCCAAACAGTGCCTGGAAGTGACCCGGATGCTGGTCTCAGTGGCGCCCCTGCCAGCTCCCACTGTACTCCTGTGGATGGACTTACCAAGGCCCTTCCAGGGCTCAGAATGGAAGAGATTCCGAGCAGGAGAAAGAGCAGAGAGCCAGTTCTCAGGAAGACTTCCAGGAGGAGATGGAGTTTTGGCCTCTGAAGGCCAGGTTGTGTTTGGAGGGGCTGGGGGCACGCGGGCAAAGGTCCACAGCATGGGAGGAAGAGCGGAGGGAGGAGCGCCCTGCTGGGGGCCAGGCAGAAGCTGACGGCCTCTGGCCAAGGCAAGGCCCTATGGGAAGAGGGTGCAGCTGGATGAGACTCTGAATGGTGGGCGGGCTGGGGGAGTGTCTAAGAGGAGTGGCTCCTTGGGGACAAGATGAGGGGAGGCCTGCCACTAAAGGGAAGCCGTGGAGTCTTTCAGGAGCCTACAAAATGGACATGAACAGAGGTTGCCCCGACCTCCCAGGAAAGGCGCAGGGCACAGGGCGCCGGGCTGGCCCTGGACAGACGGGCCGGATTGTAAAGGCTGATTCTCAGCAGAGCTTCACAACGAATGCCCTGTGTGATTCCTCGCCCAACCTAACCCTCCGGCCAGCGGCAGGAATGGGGCTCGGAGACTTTGCTGGCTTGGGGGAGGACGAACTGTGGCCAGTGTGGCCCAGATGGCCCTGGTGCCTGGCTCTGCTTGGTCACCTCTTGCCTACCTACCTAGCTGGTGCTCACAGGCTGGGGGCCCAGAAGAGGATCGGAAAACTACAGGAACTGGGAGCCAAGGGGCAGTGGCGCTTTGAGGATGAAGGGCACAGGACCTTCCTGGACACCACTGAGCCCCCAGCTGTGCCAGGTGGTGACTTCAGCCTCGGTTCCCACTGTGGGACCTCTGCCTCTTGGAGGGCATTAGGGCTGGCCAGGCGTGGCCCAGGAAACTCCAGGAGGGGCAGGATTGAGAGTGGGAAAACTCAATGATCCCTCCAGGCAGCTGGGGTTTGGTAATGCAATTCCCTCCAGAGAAAGCACACCCTTCTGGCCCAGGGGTGAAGCAGCCCAAGGTCCCAGGGCCCACTCCTGCCCCTGGGAATGGGTCTAGACAGGAGCCTTTATGGAAGGAGCTGGGCCCCTGAAAGTGTGATGATGGCTTTGTGAAGCAAGTGGCCTCTGACTATGAGGACCAGAGCTCAGAGGGGACCCTGGTAGGATGAAGGGAACATGCTTGTGCCCGCCACCTTCAAGCAGGGTGATGCCAGGGAAGGCCTTCACCAAACATCAGGCAGGTGCCTGGGTGGGCACCCTTCAGTCCTTCCAAACTGAGCGGGGAGACTTGTCTCACTTCAGAGCCCTCCAATGTCCCCCTCCAGAGGGCTCTGGGTGGGGGGTGGTCTCAGGGAGGGAAGAGGCATTGGAGCTGAACTGGAGTTCAGTGAGATGCTGAGGAAAGGGCAGCCTCAGTTGGCGGAGTTGGGAGGGTAAGAGGAGGGGAACTCAGTGAAAGGCCTTCATTCTGGAAGGTGCAGGGGATGGGGGTAGGTACTAGGCCCAAGGGCATCTCTGCAGACACCACCTGTGAAACCAAGGAAGAGTGGCCTGTCCCCATGCAGCTCCCAAGAGGAAGCTCTGGGAAGGAAAGGGGAAGATACCGCTTGATCCTTCCCCTCCAGAATTCTGCTGCCCCCCACCGAGTCCAGTGCCCTCCCACTGCTCTCCAGCACTTGCACCTGGCACTCGGGGCTGAGCGCACCTGCAGAACACCCTCCTGTCCCCTACACACCTGGGGCCTCCAGCTAGGACCTCGAAGGGCAGGTGAATGCCCGGGAAGGGTAGGGGGATGTGGGGGCACTGGTGGCACCGTTGGCATCGCCGGCCGAAGCCAGACCCGGACTGACGCAATTGCCAGATGGACACAGCTATAAATAGCCAAGGAGAGCTGGAAATAGAAGCCAGGGAAGGGCGGGAGGCGGGTCGGGGGGAGGAGTTTGGTCCTGGGCACCTGATGCCTTTGGAGGAAAACAAAACCCCATCCTAGGGCTCTCCTCCCCCATCCCACCCCAGCCCAGAGGGGCCTTTGCACCCGGAAACGTTTGCGGAAGCAGGGTGAAGCCAAGAACCTGTCCGACGGTGGGTGGGGCCTCCCTGCCTCGAGGGTCGGGACGTGTGGAGCCTGCGCTGGCCAAAGCC